ATAAATCGATTTTTAATCGATCAAGTAAGTAAAAGATCGACCAAATCATTGATTATGATTTTTTTTATCAATTAAATACCTTAGCGAAATTTGCAGAATTTGCGTAAAATTTGTATAAAAATTTAAAAATTGAGATTGTGTAATACGCAAATCATAATCACATGTAATTTACGGAAATCAAAAAGCAAGTTGCACTCTGCAAATTCCGCAAATAGATTTCATACACTGGCTTTATCTCGCTAAGATAATGCATATGTAATGAAATACGAGAACAATATAAAATTAAATTTTAGTTTGTTAAAATAATGTATTTATAAGGGAATAATACAAAATCAAAGCTTTATCTCGCTAAGATAATGCATATTTAATAAAGTAGAAAATAATAAAATAAGAAAAAAATACAAAATTAAAGCAAGATAAATTAAAAGAAAATATTAAAATTAAAATTTAATTTAAATAAAACCTAAGTTAGCATATATTAAATATGTAGGAGGAAAATATATGACCCCAAAGCCATATTGATATAAAATTAATTATAAATCATTAATATATAATTAATTTTAATCTAACTGATCCATATTTTTTAAAATATACTCCTATAACTTAGGAATTAAACACACTTGTTCTTCACCTCTTAAAATTGATTTCTCAATTTGAAAGAATTGATGATGAGTTATATTCAATTTTTTTTACTTAAAAGGATTGTAGTAACTTGTTTGATATATCATTCTTCTATTGTTATTAATAAAACATAAATTTTTGAATAAAAGATCAAATAAATAAATTAAAAAGTTTTTTTTTTTAAAAAAAAAAGAAACATTTTTAAATAATAGAAAAAGTAATTAGTAATGTTTCTAAAGCAAAGAAATAAATAATTAATTAAAATTATCCTTTCAAATTACTATTTCATTCTAAAGGATCTAAGAATCATTTTCTTAAAAAAAAAAAGAGAAAGAAATTTTAGTAACATCACTAAAGCAAAAAAATAAAAAAATAAAACAAATTCAAAAGTTTAAATCTTAATAAAAGAAAAATAAACATTAGTAATGTTCTAAAGCAAAAAAAAAAAAAAAAATTTCAAATTATCATTTCAATTCAAGGATCCAGAATCTTTTTTTTTTTTTGAAAAAAAGAAAAAGGAATATTAATAACGTTCCAATGACTAAAAAAAAAATTGAAAACCCCTCCTCCCAACAAACCTTTCATAGCTCAAGCCAAAAGAGATCTTACACATCAAAGAGAAGTTTATAACGAAAGGAAGGGAATAATTTTATTTTAATAATTTTATTTTTTAAGTTAAAAATCAAAAAAAAAAACAAAAAAAACAAAAATTTTAGCTGAAGCCCTCCAGAATCCTGGAATTCTACGAATCGAACGAATGTAGGTAAGTTATTTTTTTTTCCTTTGAATTTAAAATAAAAAAAATTAAAAATTTTATGTTTACTTATCTCTTTTTGTAGATGGCGAAGCCCTCCAGAATCCTGGAATCCTACGAATCGAAAGGTAAGTTATTCATTATTTTTTTTCTTTGAATTTAAAAAAAAAAGTAAAATTAAAATTTACTTACCTTTTTTGTAGGTGCCGAAGCCCTTCGGAATCCTGGAATCCTATGAATTGAAAGGTAAGTTATTCATTATTTTTTTTCTTTGAATTTAAAAAAAAAAATTAAAATTAAAATTTACTTACCTTTTTTGTAGATGCTGAAACCCTCCAGGATTCTGGAATCATACAAATCGAACGAATGTAGGTAAGTTATTTTTTTTCCTTTGAATTTAAAACAAAAAAGTTAAAAATTTTATGTTTACTTACCTCTTTTTGTAGATGCTGAAGCGCTTCGGAATCCTAGAATCTAATGAATCGAATGAAGGTAAGTTATTCGTTATTTTTCTTTAAATTTAAAATAAAAAAATTAAATTAAAATTTTCTTACCTTTTTTGTAGGTACCGAAGCCCTCCGGAATCCTGGAATTCTATGAATCGAATGAAGGTAAGCTATTTGTTATTTTTTTTCTTTGAATTTAAAAAAAAATTAAAATTAAAATTAAAATTTACTTACTTTTTTGTAGATGCCGAAGGCCTCCGGAAACGAATCCTACGAATCGAAGGTAAGTTATTCATTTTTTAAAAAAAATTAAGAATCGAGATCACAAAAAATATATTTTTTTTCCCCTTTTTTTTTTACAATGAATATGATCGACATGCATAAATTGACATTATATCATTTGACATGCATAATTAATAATCTTAACTAAATAAGATAAAATTTTTATTTATTTGGTTTAATGATGTTTCACAGTCTGTAATAGGACCCCTGAATTATTAGTTAATAATTTTTATTATTAACGATTAATAATAGTTAATAATAATTAATAATTTTTAACAATTACTAATTATAATAAATACTTTAATTTATGCAATAAGTGCAGATGTTTAATTGTGATAATTGGTAATTGTGTAATGGTGAATTAATTCAAATAAATATAGTTTGATCAAAAAAATCAAATTTCAAATATGCCACCTCAACGAAAATTTGGAAGGAAAAAAAAACCTATTTGGCAATGGTTTAACGAAGGCGATAAAATTAATAGTTCTCATTATTTTGCAATATGTAATTTTTGTAGATAAAAATGTCCTGGTGAATCTTCGAAAATGTTTAAATATTTAATAGAAAAATGTATAGAAATTCATCAAGATGAGCGTAATAATATAAAAAATATTTTAGAAAATATTTCTTAAAATTCACAAATTCAAGCAAATAATGATAATAATAAGAATACAAATAATAAAATAGAATCTAAATTAAATTCTAATTTACATTTACCCTTTGAAGAAAAAATATTTATTCATCGTCAATTACTTAAAGCTTTAATATCAGCTAATATTCTATTATCATTTGTAGAAAATTCTGAAGTAATTAAATTATTTAATATATTAAATCCTAAATATAAGCTTCCATCTCGAAAATGGCTAAGTACAGATATTTTAGATAATATATATGAAAATATACAACTTAGCATTCAAAATTTTATGTCAGATGCAAAGTTTTTAACGTTATCCGGTGATAGATGGACTAATGTATCAAAAAATAGTATGTTAAATTTTATAATAACAAATGAGAAGCATGAAAGCCAAATTTTAAAAATAGAAAACTACTCTAATTAACATCATACAGGGGATAATATATTTACATTATATAAAGAAATTGGAATGAATCTTGGAGATAAATGGATAGCATTTATTTCAGATAGTGGATCAGATTTTAAAAAAGCACAAAAACTTATACGTAAGGTAAGAAATTAAAAAAATCACTTTATCAAGTTTATTAATAATTAAATTGATGTTAATTAAAAATTTATTAAATATTATAATTAGGATCATGAAATTTGTGGTAAAATTTAACGATTTTATGTATGGCACATCAGACTAATTTATTAGTCAAAAAAATAGTGATTCACCATTTTTTATACCAATTATTAAGAAAATGTTGATAATTATCAACCATTTTCGAAATTCAAATCTTGCATTATCTAAATTAAGAAAATTAACTAATAATGCAAATTTAAAACCCCAATATCTATGTATTACTCGTTAGACAACTTTTACAAAAGCATCTAAAATTTTATTATAAAATCAAACAAGTTTAAAGGTAAGTTTATAATAAATATAATTTTTAATAAATAATTAATATTAATTATTAATATATATATATATTTAGGTTATTGCACTTACATATTCATCATATTTGATTTTTGCATTCAAAAGAAAATAATAATATCATAATTAAAGATGGTACAGCAATTGATTTCAAATTTACAAAATGTTGCAACATAAGCTAAAATTAGTTGCAACATATATAGGTTAAAACTAATTGCAACGTAAGTTGCAACATTAAAAGTTGCAACATATTAATTACAGTTCCCATCTTTAATCATAATTAATACAATTAATGATAATGAATTCTGGACAAATCTTGAGTTATTTCATGAATTATTACAACCATATGATTATGTTATCAAAACTCTTGAAAATGAAAAGGCTATATTAGGTCAAGTGGTAGCATCATAGGCATAACTTCGTGAAATTGTTAATAAAAGTTCATTTATTGATTTTTGAGATTTTTTAATATTAGAAATTGATAATCGTTAAAAAAAAATTTATCATCCTGTCTATTTAATTACTTGGTTTCTACATCCATATCATCATAGTGAAGGATTAAATCCAATATGGCTTTTATATATTCAAGAAGCTGCATATGGATTATTTTGCACTATTTATCCAAATTATAATCAAGATGGGTTTATTGATGAATGGTTGAATTATTCAAATCAAGAGGGTCCATTTTCCGCATCATCTATTAAGAATTCAAGTTTTACAAAATATCCAATATGATATTGGCGTACTATGCAAAATATAGCTCCAAATTTAAGTGAATTTGCATATCGTTTTCTGTCAATTCCACCTAATTCTGCAACTTCTGAATGGGTATAGTCATTATTAGGTAATATACATACAGAACATTATAATCGATTATCACCATCATGAGCTGCAAAATTGGCACAAATTTCTTGGTATATAAGTCAAAAATCAAAGCAAAATCAAGAAGTATCTCAAACTTTATATGAAATGGAAAATAATATCTATAATGAAAATGATTATATTAATGATAGTAATAATATAGATGATTATATGAATAGTTTAAATCAAATGTCTGAAAAATTTATAGATGATATTCAATTATTTACTGATATAAATAGTGAAGAAACAATTCTAACACTTATAGATGTTTTTGATTCTAA